AAAAAAAAAGTAAAGTAGATTGACAATAAAAACTAGCTATGCATTGAAAAACAAAGAGAATTGGTTGGAATGAGGAGAAATTTATGCTTTTGTTACTGAGTGATTTAGTGAGCAAGCAACAAAAACATGCGATGACGATTTGATGAAGCGAGCGCATATGAAATACGAAAGTAATTTTCGAAATACATGCCCGATAGGCAAATCAACTCAGAAGAGAAGAGATCAGTGCAAAAGCGATGAAAATCGATAACCTTGTCCAATATCTGATGCCATGTAAACAAAAAAAGCAAAATTGGTAATAATTCCTCCAGCTTTTCTCTCTAGAACGTTACAGAAAAGACCGCTTCAAATGCATTACACATTAGCACTCCTCTATATTTCGAAATATTGGGAAATTTCCGTATCACCTCATTCAACGTACGCCACGCTCACATTTCATAAGTTCTACGCATCTTTAGTGCACATCCAGATTAGCCTTAGGTTCACTTTTGGAAAGAATATATATATATATATATATAAACATTCACTGAAGGTTTGAGCCAAGTACAAATAAACATTATGATTAGGTCAAACGGGATGTGGTAGAAAAGACTAGAAACAAAAGGAATTCCATAAATATGGACTGACAAAAAAAAAATATAGATGAACAATAACAACATATTGAATATAAAAAGTACTACTAGTGAAGTTTGGAAAGAGTTGCGGCACATATCCTCCTTGCACATTTTACTGCATATACTCCCACCAACGTGACAAATAATATTTGAGATGTTCGCGGACAAATCGATAATCGCTAATTTTCAGTCTTACGCCTACACTGTCGATCTGAGCAAAAAGGAACACATCTACAGCACTGCGGAAAAAGTGAAATCAGATGTGGGCAAAGTAGACATAGTCATCAACAATGCCGGCGTTGTCACAGGTTAGTTAGTTGTGCAATGCCATCGAAGTTTTGTAATGCAATAGTATCTCATCTAGCTGCAATTTTTAGTGAAGTTCGAACTGTTGCCACCCTCAGCGTAACTGATTTCGTATTTCAATCTTCTGCGTGTTCATTTCATCATTTTGAGCTGACTGAGATGTCATTAGCGTCGTCATGCCTATGATGCAATTGCACAATATACACCAAACCTAGATAGAGCAGCATCAGATTTATTAAAGGCAGTGTCCGGGCAAAATGAAGGATTTCGAGTTCTTATTAGTTAATGATGCTGACTCTGTGGCTGAGCTACTCCCCAATAGCAAATATTTCGCCATGTAAGTAAGAAAACTTAGGTTCTATACAAATTTCTAATTTGAATTCCGGAAATTTAGGTTAGCCCGCCCCTTTTAGGTCACTCCGCCCACTCAGTGATTTCCTGCTCCTCACCGCCAGTGTTTGACTGCTCTCAAAAGTAGCGCTCTTTACTGAAAGAGACGTGCGATGTCTCGGGGTCAAAAGTTAAACTTTGAAATCGCACCTCTGCCACCCAACTTTAGTTCAAAGAAGGCCCAGAGTCTTTGCTTTTCTCACAATCGTTGATTAGAATTGGTATTCATGTTCTGCACACCGAACTGGTCTAGAAAATTAGGAGAACCCTTAGTCGAAAGTTTGCTGGAAACTGTCTTTAATGAGCGCAGTGATGCTCATTGCACGTAGTAGCAATTGTGACGTTGGGGTTTTCTATGACATTGTGGACTGACAGTTTTTTCCCTAATCGTAGATTTATTAATATGATTTTTTAGGCAAGAAAATCTTCGATTGCCCCGACAATCTTATGGAGCTCACCATGGCTGTGAACACACATTCTCTTTTCTACGTGAGATCCTTTTGTTCCTTTTCTTTGTTTTTTCCTCTTCTGAACTCCTTACTCAAGAGATGTATCATTTTTAGACAACTAAAGCGTTTGTGCCAACAATGCTGGAAACCAATCATGGTCATGTCGTAACAGTTGCCTCAATGGCTGGCAAAGTTGGCGTTTGTGGGCTCGTAAGTTTTACGATTTGAATAATGAAGCTTGGATCTCTTCTGCATTTCTGGTTAGAAGCAGAACTTGCGATATCACTGGAAAGTGTTGGCAGCTCAAACCGCCATATGTAAAGCTAACCTCTTTTTCCTATAGGTTGACTATTGTGCTTCGAAACATGGAGCTGTCGGTTTTCATGAGTCGCTGACAGCTGAACTGGATGCTCTTGGCAAAGATGGAGTCAAGACGACGGTTATCTGCCCATACTACATTGATACAGGAATGTTCGATGGAGTTGAGACTAAGTAAGAACGTTTTTATAGAATTTCTTGTCTTGATGAGTTTTGTCTTTTCTCGATTAGCACTTCACTTCTATTATATGACTTTTTGACTACAAGGAGTAGGCTGAAAGCCAGGTTAGCTTGAGAGAAGTTACAGTTTTAATTTGAGAAACGTTATTATTATTTTATATTATTTTTATTTGAATGTTGAAAAGAACAAACATCTTCTAAACTTTACGCATATTTCCTTGATTTTTTGCATCTTAATGGTTTTTTTTTCTCTAGATCACCTACGCTCTTTCCCGTTCTGCAACCACAATACGTCGTCGACTGCATTATGGAAGCTGTTCTTACTAACAAAGAAATGATCGCAATGCCTCGATTTAACTACTTCGTAATGTTCGCCATGGGGTAAGTTGCTTAGCTTTTTGATATTTCTAATTAACTTGGCTTTTCACCTTGGTTGACTTTCTAACACTGTCATTCCTCGAATTTTTTTGTTTGTTCAAGCAATTGTTTTTCGTCAGCTCTTAATTGAAAAGTATCATCGGTAACTAGCTCTAATTGGTGTTCAACAAGTACCTAGTGTCTTTTGAGTTCGTAAGGCAAAACATTTGCTAGATCGTTAATGCACCTCTTGTCATTGTGAAAACCTCCCTTGTTATTTTATCATAATTGCAGTTTTCTGCCGACAGACGTCTTACATCTCATCAGAGACTACCTAGGTGGTAATTCGATGATGGATCACTTTACTGGACGTGTGAAAAATGACTAAGAATTTCGACCAATTAGTCGTTTGCTTTCATCATACTTCCACTCATTATCGCGCCAGTACTGACTCAAATCCATCTGATCATGGAGCTCGGGTAATCAAACCTCTACTCAGCTACCTCCTTCGCAGTGCTATTTCAATCACCATATAATAGTTTACGAGAAAGCTCGACTAGACACAACGCTGTGGATGTGCTGCTATACTTGTGCTTCTGTACCTGGATTGTCTGCACGTGTCTCGCTCATCTTCGTATTTGTACTAATTCGAAACTACCACACACCGCCGCGCTTTGTAATAAAGTTTATCGTGTTTGTAGTGACTTTTTATTTGTTCTGTGAGTTCGAGATGAAGTTGAAGTGCTAAGTTATTCATTACAACTTTCAAATCGATCAAATCCCCTCTTGTTAAAATGTAGAAGTGGAGCCCACTATTTGCAGTCAAATTTTGTGCGATCCGTGGATACATCAAATGCATTAAACCATGCTGTCTCTCCTTAGACTGAGTACATAGCAAAAATGTGCTATGCAAAAGTCACCTTTTTGTGCATTCTGAAATCAGTTTGAAGACGCTGCCAAGGGAAACACAATTGAGAAACTTGCCAATATAGGGCAGAATGAGATAGCTACTTTTGAGTTAGATATCTCTATTCGGTTGCCCCTCGCTCTTTAGTCTGACGGCCATTTTTTGCTGCGAAATTTTATAGATTTGCGGTTCAATTCATTCTTTGCCTTAGGGGCTATAATTTCACCAGAGACATCAAGGCAGTGCTGAGGCAAAAGTGATTTTTGAGTT